CGTCTATTTCGTTCTGCCTGATGCAATCCTGGATCCAGACGGGCTTGACGATATTGTTTGTTGCGCGTTTCTCCAGCGAGGCCACTTTGATTAGTCGCTTGTCTGCGACGATGATGAGGTTCTTGTCCATAGAATCGCGCTGCACGATTTTGCCGCCGTTGGCTTTCACCAGGGCTTCCAGGTCTGCTTTTGACTTTTTCGTTGGGGAGATTTGCTCGGTCATTATGAAGAAGCTTAGCCCTTCAAAGACTTTGGATGCTGGGCCTGCGTATGGTGTGGTGACCGTGTCGTTGCCGACAACAGTCAGTGGCTTCTTTGTTGTCCTGACTTTCTTCCTTCGGGATTGTTCGATCTTGAACTCTTTTTCCTTCTCGTTGACCTCTGTCTCCGCTCGGCTCTTTACTTCCAGCCACTCTTGTGTTGAGAGCGCCTGATCCCATCGCTTATCTTTCTTGAGTTTTTGGAAGCGGGGAAAGCGAAGCGTGTATCCCATGCGGAATTTGTCACTATTCTCGACACTTGCTGCTTTGCACCCCAGGACGACGGAATCGCAAGGGTGGATAAATTCATCTGGCCGCTCGTGTTGCTTATAGTCGTAGCCGCCCAGTTCGATGAATGGAGGCGGTTGTCGACGATCCCATTTATGCCACTTACCTTCCGTGCGCCTCCTTATTTCAGCGTACTCGTCCTTAGTGAAACCACCACCGACCTTGAAAAAGGATTTACACAGTGGGTGCTTCGCCACTATCTTTTCCTTCTCTAGCAATGCACAAAGGAAGGATGAGTGGGCGCCACCGCGATGCCCAGTGCCAAAGTATCCGCCAACAACAATGCAGTCGAGCGACTCGCCGTACTCTGACATGTATTCTGGCTTCACTTTCATCCAGTCGTTGTTCCGTTGATTGAGACGGTACATGGAGCGCGGATTCTTTAGCACCAGACCCTCGGATGACTCTGCAACGACCTTCCGTAACTCCGGTTCAATCTCGGTATGCGAGCGTGCCTCGATGTAAGGATGGATCTCCAGACGACGCTTTTTCCCCTTGACAGCACTCTCAAGGGCGCGACGTCGATCGCGTAGCGTATACTGTGTGAGTGATTTGTCGTTCAGATAGACGCAATCAAACACCCTAAACAATGGCCGCTGACCAGTATCCTTGTCGGTTTTATTCTCTTTCTCAGATATGGCTGCCGTCTTGAGTGTACCGAAGTCCACGATGTGGTCCCTGTCCATATCCCAGGTAATCATCTCCCCATCAAGGATAATGTTCCGTACGTTCTTTCCGAAGGCGTCTTCGATGAAACGTGTAAGTGCACCGGCCTCGTCGCCTTCGAAGTGTCTGCCGTAGAGGTATGCGTAGTCTTTGGCTTTACGTGACCAGAACCCGAAGGTCCTTCCGCCGGGTGCGTCGGGATCCTCAATCATATGGAGCTGCATGCGCTCCCCGTCGAGCTTCTCTTCAATCCAAAACGTGTCATCGTCCGCATTTGCTTGGAAACGGCTCACCAGTTTCTCAAAGTTGCCTACTTTGTCCTGAAACTGAGCTAGCTGTGGCTGGAAGCATTGCATCAAGCTGAGCTCAGTGCTCTCGCCCTCCAAACGAATCTCCGGGTCGAAGAGCTCCCAGCACACTCGCCGCAGGTTTGACGAGATATTGAACAGTGTCTCCGCGTCCGGATGCCAGATGTCGAGGAGTGTCTTCTCAGTAGCGCCGATCTTCATCTGACGGAGGATCATACGGATGAGCCAGGTCATCTCCTCAGCATTCATCCTTCGGTAAAACCGCTTGAAAATCTTGACTTGCTCCTCTTCGGCACCAACCTGCGACAGCTTATCCAGAGCATTGTTGACTTCGGCAATGCTCATGTCGCTGTACCCGGTCTTCATCTGCCGCATTGACAAGACATCGTAACATCGTCCAGGAAAGTCGCCCGCAGATGCATTCGAAGCTGAGCTGAGCTGACTAGGTAGCTTCCATTCCGTTATGTGGTCGGCATCAACAGATTTGGGCTTCATGCTGGTGCACTTGATCAAAATCTTGGCAATCGCTTTCTCTTTCAGACCGTACATGGCTCGATCTCTGTCTTTTTCGGGAATCATGAGACGCATTGCGGGGTAGAAGTCGTGACCAACTTCCTTTCGCCAATTTGCAATATATCTTTCGATGATGTTGCGTTTCGCTTCATGGGGTGACAGGTTGGAGTGTCCGTGAGGCCCGACTCTTCGACGAGCTCCCACAGGCTGCTTCCTCTTCTGTGTTTCCATGAGTGGGTTGAAAAGGTCCGTGAACAGGGTATGGAAGCGGGGCGTCTTGTGGAGGTTCAGCGGCCGGGTAGGGTACTTGTCGTCGAGCTCATCGTCATGACCATACATGAGCGTGTTCTCCCTAACCGCCTCCTCATCCGGCATTGGTATATCTTCGGCCATTTTGGGGGCATTGGAGGAGTGAGTCGACGGGTGTAAGGTTTGTTTGTATATGAAGGCAGGGTCGTGGTTGCCTGGAAGCCGCATTACGCGTGATCACGTGGCTGTCAGGCTGCAACGAGCTAGCGCATCTCCCAAGGCGTCACCCATGCCAGTGGGTACCTACGCCGTGATTCACAAGGCTGACGATACTAATCTTGGAAACTGGGGGAATTGCGACTCCACAACACTCGTTTTCCCTTTAGTCCTTCGTTTCTTTGCTTTCATGTCGCGCCAAAACACCTTTTCCAACCGCACTACTGTCCCCTAATTGTCCGTATACGTCATTATTACTCACCATCCAATGGACCGTAAATGAGCGCTGCACGTAAGCAGGGCTGGGTCCCGCAGTCGACCGGCGACACCCAACACAACGTACGAGATGCTGCGCTACAAGGTGCCGCTCGAGCCTTCTCCAAACCTCCCGCGAAACCGAAGCCTTTGGTGAACACGTATACTGGGGGAGACAATGGGGCTTTGCTCGCTGCAACCAAAGTCGGCACAGGCAATCCGGCATCCTTGCGGAGGGACCATACCGGTGGTTCCGTAGGGGTCAGCAAGCCGAACCTATCCCATTCGAACAGCACGACGTCGTTGAGCGTGCCTGACGATCACCCCGACCGCGTCTCGTCGCCTTCGAATATCGCGGCACGGCTTGCGGCAGCTCGACACAGCCCTCTGAGTCCTATACCCCAGGCCAAGGCCGTTGTTCCGCCCGCCATGAGCGAACAGCAGCCACACGAGCGGGATGCACTGCCTCCCTCGGGCAGCGTAGGGAATGTGCTTGCGAGACTCGAGTCTCAGAGGCCCACGCAACAGTCGCGGAAGAGGAGAGACAGCTTAGAGTCACCTGCAGCGGCGCGCAATACCCGACGACCAGAGCCACAACACAAGGCTACTGACGAGACGCCCATACCACCAACAAATTCGCTGGTGAAGATGTTTGAGCAGGCGCGACCCAGCACACCCACGAAGCAGCCTTCCGCACCGATACGCGTTGCGCAGAATTCACCACCCCCTGTGAAATCGCCCAAGCCACAACGTGCGTTCAAACTGCCTCCCGAGCCGAAAGATGATGCACCGCTGCAGAGAGTCAGAACGCAGACACCGCCGCCCGTCAAGCCGAAACCGAAGCACAAGATCCAGCTGCCCCCACAATATGCTGATGGCAGCAGCGATCAGGCATACTTCAATACACCCAAGAAAGACCCTCTGAAGTCTCCCCCAATCAAACAGAAGCCGGTGCAGTTGGCAGCAATCAACACATCCACGTCCCCACCCTCAAAGCCGCAGCGGAGAGGTTCGCGGCAAACACGGCCCAAGTCGGAGGACACAACGCAGTCATCGTCCTTACAGCGCCGCAGAGTGTCTGCGTCTGTAGAAAGCTATCAGTCACCGTCGACTCCCACATCTTTCAAGTCAGCCAAAGAAGACCAGGAGGAAGACGAGAAGCCTAGACCTGCTCTGCCTCCACCGCGACGATCGACCGCGCGGAAGACTGAACCTGCGCCAGCTGCGAACAAACTCCAGCCTTCAGCCCCGATACAGATCAAGCCTCGCACCCAGAGCCAGAACCCAGCCTCGATGGCTCCACTACAGAAGCTTTCGCCTCCGCGTCGACCAATGTCAGCTAACAGAACTGGGTCGCCTTCAGTCTACCATAACAACTACCAGCGAGAATCTGTCAAGCAGATCACGCAGCACATGACTGGCGAGTCTCTGTCGAGCGCCATAATGGGCGCCGCCCTAGCCTCCCATTCTCGCAACGTCTCGCCGGCCCCTCGACCTATGTCAGTCGAGCCTCTTTTCCCGCCGCGCAAACAGCATCATCACCATTCGCCCTTCCACCGATCGCCCTCGCCGCCCAAACAATCTCCTCCGAAGAGCGCCGGCAAGCTGCGAACTACAATGCGCAAAGAACCGTCATCCTCCGATGAGGAAGACAACAAGGTCGACAAGTACAAGAAGAAGGGCACACGCATTATGGGCATCAAGGGGCGGAAGCACCCGAACAAGCACCATGAGGGGACACGAAAACGATGGCGCGACCAGATAACCGAACGGGAGCGGAAACGTTATGAAGGTGTATGGGCTGCCAACAAGGGTCGTCACATACCCTCACCGGATAACGCACCACCTGACGACGACCCGTCAGCCGATGTGTTGAATCTCCTTGTCAAAGAGATCTGGACGAGAAGTCGACTACCCACACACGTGTTGGAAGAAGTCTGGGACCTGGTAGACAGTAGAGGTGTCGGAAGGCTGAGCAGATACGAGTTCGTCGTGGGTTTGTGGTTGATAGACCAGAGACTCAAAGGACGCAAGTTGCCCGTCAAAGTTAGCGACAGTGTATGGCAGAGCGCCCGGGGCGTAGGGATTAAAGTCAAGATCAAGCATTGACAGTAGACGAAGATGAGAGATATAGAAGCATTGGCATGGCGTTGGACTTGATTGTCACTGTAGATCCTAGAGATACCCCTAATCGTAGTACAGTTTGTTTCTTTTGTTGGTATACACACTATGATCATCTCTCGTCTTATCCCTGTACTGCAGTTTTGTCGCCCATGCTCAGTAGCCCCGCGTTCCGGACGAAATTCGCAGTACTCCAGAACCCGCCGCTGAAGTCGAGATCGTACCAGTAGTTTACTGCGCAGCAGATCCCTTCTTCGTTGCAGCTCTGGCTCACTTTGTGGTACCATAGTGCGGGTAGGTAAAGCATGTCGCCTTCTTCTAGCGTGACTCGGAGTGGTTGCGAGTATTGGGAGTAAGGCGTGGTGTTGGCAGCAGGCTGATCTGGATCCCATGTCGCGAAAGGTACATATTCTTCCGGCTCATCGACCTTGATAACCAGATCACCCTTCTCTAGCGCACTAGAAGACGCGCCATCCTCCCGTTTCGAAGTATAAGTCGCAGCCAGCACGCTCTTCTCATTAACACAAGCCGCTTCTACAGGCGGCAAGAGAACAAAATGCTTCCGCCCCAGAATCTGCACGTAGATGTTCTCGTAATTGTCTTTGTGCAGAGCAGTCGTGGAATACGAATTCCCAAGCCAGAAATTGATGGCGTCGGGTTCTTGCTCAAGGGCTATACGCGCGAAGGGTATGCTCTTGGGCACGTCGGCGAAGAGCGTAGAGTACTCGTTACGTAGATTGTCGTTTTGGGTTTGCGCGTAGCGTGTTGGGCCGGTGTAGTCGTTTTCTTGCTCTTGGCGTTGTATCTTGTGGAGGACTTCTTCAAAGGGCTCTTCTGTCTCATACGGTTTGACGAATATCGCGCCATCTGAGGGGAGGGAGACGACCGAGTCGGCGTTTCCGCGGGGGGTGATTGCTACGTTGACGTTTTGGCCTTGCATCACGGTTTTTAGGTACGAGGCGTTCCATGTTTTTCTAGCTTTGAAGTCTTTGGCTCCGTTGCGAACGATGAAGGGGCGGTTGCGGGCGACGTGGCGCATGAATTGGAGGGGTGAGGGTTCAGTTGTGAGAGTGTCGATTGTCGAGGGATTGAGTTCATGGTAGGATGTTATTAGATCTGATTGAGATTAGTATTAGTGGCAATGCAAGATCGCAAGATACATCGAAGTGCTCCATGTTCATTATGACATCTGGGACATATGGTATGAGATTGAGAAATCGTCAGAAGAGCTAGCCGCGCGATTTGCATCGTGGTTTTAAGCACTGAGACAACAGAGTGATATGGGATTGAAAGTATGAAGAGGAAAAGGAAGCACCTCTTACAGCATCTTGCAATGTCCCTTCCGCATCGAGACCAGTTGGTGCAGGCCTTCGCACATGATCAGTACGAGAGAGCGCAATGATCTCATCCATGGCACACTCACTGCAAAGCAGCCTGCTCTGGAAGTTTCAATCCCATCACTTCATCTCTATTCTGACCCATGTTTGCGCGTTCATGCGAAATCGCGCAAAGTTCGTGAAGTGGGATGCGTTATCGGGGTGCGTCTAATTTGTTAAGCAAAGCACCAAATCTTGAGTTGTAACACCCAGGTAGCTGGAAAGCTAGTCCCAAAAGGGTAAGGATCCATTGCCAGTCCATGAGAGTTCCAAGGTTCATTTGGAGAGGTACAAGAACACGGCAAGAATAAGATAGTATGTATGCATTGCGGTTGAAATTGGGACCAGGTTGAGACATTCAAAGACTTAGAGAAGAGCTACTTAGTTCCCAATCGCCTGTGGATTCCAAAACACCTTGTTTGGATCTACTGAGTCCTTAATCACACTGAGCTTTCCATAAGTCGCATCACCATAGTACAATTGATGCGCCTCCGCTGGTGTCAGCTCTGGATCCAGATAATTCGGGTATGCCAAAAAGTCGCCATCGGGCTGTGCGTCTGTCAAAGCAGTATTGAGTCCTTGCACGAACGCTTTGATGCTAGACTCGAAAGGTGGAAGCATATTGGCCGAGGAACCGATGTTCTATCAATAACGAGGTTAGCCAACTGCTTAGGGGATACTGCCCGATGAGTATTGTCTGAAGGGGAGGGGAGAGGAGAGGAGTTTACCTGGAAAACCCAAAGCGAATCGCGATGCGAATATGCCGCACTGTCAGGCGATGGAACATTGATCTGACTATCCCTCCCGCCGTATAGCGAGATATAAGTCTCCCATGGGGACTCTGCGCTCAATCCCTTACTAATGACATACCCAGCAAAGCTCTCCAGTGCGCGCCGTGTAAGTGGCTTTGCCTCCCTTGTAACAATGGACTTGGTGTAGAAGGTCTGGTGGTTGTTGTAGCCAGTCAAAGGCTCAACAAGAGGTTCGCCTTCTGCGATATCCTGCAGTGCATCGAGCCAGCTTCTGGTCGCGATCGTTGTGTTGTCGGCCTTGGGCAAACCTTCAAGCATGGCGGGAAGTACGGCGCTGGAGAAGTGTGCGCGGTCGCCAAAGTACCAGCCTCGAACTTCGAAGGTGCCAAATATGTTCATGTAGATCTCAAGTGTGATGTTACGGTCCATGAGAGGAGAAGATTGGGCAAACTTCTGCAACTGGAGAAGGACGTCGGCGACGGAAGATGAAGACTTCAGCGCGGAAGTGAAGTTCACGGAGTAGCTGACGATTCGTGCTGGGGCAGGCTGGGTCTGCAGATAGAAGGTAGTTACGATACTTATGCTATCTGCAGCTCCACGCAGAGCGTAGTAGAGCTCGGGATGGGTAGTGCGTGTGATGTGAAGTTGAGTTCCGTCGGCCAGCACGACGTCCATTGCCTCGATCGTGTCGAGTGCAAGCCCTGAACAACATTACGATTAGCTAGGGTCGTTACATATATTTGCAAAACAGCGGTACTTACCCCAGCGACGAGAAGAGTATCCGAAGCCTCCATGCGTATAGTGCCCTCCGATGCCAACGCCCGGGTATGTACCGTGAGGCAGTGCGGCCTGACCTTGCTTGTATACACCCAGTCCGAGGTTTCCGAGACGCACGCCGCCTCCTGCTCGAACGATACCAGTACCTTGTGACATGTTAGCAAAGATCATGAAGGAATGAGTAAGCTGCCTGCCTTTATCCAGAGATACCTCGTTAAACTTCTGTAAATCGATCGTCAAGCTACCATTCTTGCCGCCGAGAGAGTAGCTCCCGTACGAATGTCCTCCAGACCGGGGCTGAACTTTGATGCCAGCTGCAGCTGCGCATGTTATTGAATCGGAAACTTGCTGCGGAGTTTCTGGTATTGTCACGGCCACTGGGGTGTACTGGAGACGGAGGTTGAATGCGGCGGTGAGAGAAGTCCAATCTGATGAGGAATTGAGAGTAGTAGGGACGGCTTTTGCGTGAAGACAGTCCTGTAAGGCTTGGTGTTGTCGATTGAGCAGATGGTCTCGCGGATCAACGAAATCAGCGATGGCGTTCGATACGAACAGAAATAGTAGAGATGTTGAAAGCATGTTTTCAGTCAGTTGCTCTTTTGCGACTATACCTCCGGGTTCCTGGTACTACATCTTATACAAGCACTCCACCAGCACTACATGCCAAGTCCACCGAGCTCCGGAAACATAAGGTCATACCAATACTATCTGGTCCTCGTACTTGCGAAGCAACCGAGCAAGCAATTGCCCGTTCCAATCTCGTTCCAATTTCCGGATGAAGCTGTTTGCTAGGTTTGGCCAAGTGTCGAACTTCTAACGAGAGTTAGCTAGAGCAACACGTAAGACGATTGGTGAAATGCAGTGGCTTTGCCTGGGGCATTGCGACGCAAAATCCCTGTTATGACGCGGAATCGGTACTGACGATGAAGGCATGTCGGCTAACACGATGCCAAGTCCTCCGACGGGAACTTCCGAAAACCTGATAGCGCTTTCCCATGCAAGAAGTCCACCACAAGTCAGCATCTTTGACCTCGATGATGGCCTAACAACAACACCGCGCCAGCATTGTGGACCGCCGCGGGCACGCCATCACAGACAAAAGATGCTAGAGCGATAGTAAAGCTCAGGATCCGATTGTAATGCCGCCACCATGGAGCACCTTCAACCGCTCCGGCTTTGTCCAAACCCTAGGCCGCAAGTACTTGCAACACTATGCTCCGAATCGACTTGCTAATACACCAATAGGTAGCGCGCTCACCGTCGCAAAAGGCTTTGTCTTCCTCCACGTATGCTCTTCCTACATTGGCGGCATTTCCTCCACCAGCGGCATCTCTATGGTGCCTACGATCCCCCACCATTATAAGGGCCACCCATGGATACTATACTCGTCGCTTCATCGTCGCGGTCGCAACCTCCGCGTTGGTGACATCATAACCTATAATCATCCCATATTCCCCAAACAGAGCGGGTGTAAGCGCATCATCGGGATGCCAGGCGACTTCGTCAGCATAGTCACGCCTGGGCGCGGGGAAGACGACGTGCACGCGGTGGACCATGAGGGGAAATGGGCGAGCGTAAGGGAAGAGGTCATAAGAGTGCCAGAAGGACATTGTTGGGTACAAGGCGATAATCTGGAATGGAGTAGGGATAGTAGACTGTTTGGACCGCTCCCGTTGGCGTTGGTCAAGGCGAAGGTATTGGCTGTTGTGCGGCCGTACGGGGAGGCGAAGTGGATTAAAAACGAACGTGATGTTGTGGATGTGAAGGAGGGGGAAAGAGAGTGGGTGTTGAAGTAGAAGGGAGTATCACGGGAGGAACAAAACAATACTGGGGGGTAGTATACAAGGGAAAGAGTTATTCAGTCGAGGCAAGCTATATACCCAAGGATCCATCTAAAGAGCAAAAGAAAACCGACAACGCATCAATACGTCGAACAAGCTACATCATCAATTGTTGTCATTGGCTTGCCTTCCAGGCCAAAACAAGTTACGAATCTCCTCATCCTGTTCATTCATCATGTCCACAGTGGCCAGCTCAGCAGCAGCTTGAGCGCGAACGCGCAGGCGCGCCAAATTCGACATGCGTGTAAAAGTGGCTTCATCGTGCAGCTGAGTCAGACCAGGAAAGCCATAATACTCGGCGATCTCTTCTTCTGGGACATCGTCGCCACGACCGGCCAGCAATGCGACACGGCGGGCTCGTGCTAATCTACTCGGCGCGATTTCACGTGTTGGGGCGATAGGTTCGGTGGTGTTTCGCGGCGGACCCGGGTATATGGTTCTCCCAATGATAGGACCTCGAGCCGCAGACTGCGTAGGTTGTGGAGGAATGTTGTTGGTTGCTGAGGATTCTGGCGTCTGGCTGGTGTGTCCCCTTGAGGCTCCATCTAGCAGTGTCTGGATGTCTTGCTCTATTCGTGCTGTCCTCGCTCTGCTTAAATCCAAATCCGCAGCGGCACTAGCAAGTCGGCTGCTGAGGTTCGAATTATGTGGAGATCTGGCTTCTTCAGCGGCTCGTAGGTTCGCCATAGCTTCAATGCGTGTCATCCTGATGCTGGGGACATCTGACGAGGCATCCGACGAGCTGTCTTCACCAGCAGCCTGTCTAGCTGACATGCGTCGGCGTCGGCGTGTCCTGATACTAGGACTCGAATCATCTGACGAGCTGTCTTCTCCAGCAGCCCGTCTAGCTGCCATGCGTCGGCGCTGGCGTGTCCTGATACTGGGACTCGAATCATCCGACGAGCTGTCTTCTCCAGCAGCCCGTCTAGCTGCCATGCGTCGGCGTTGGCGTGTCCTGATACTAGGAATCGAATCATCTGACGAGCTGCGTTGGCGTCTACGTGTCCTGATACTGGGAATCGGATCATCTGACGGACGGTCTTCCTCTGCGGCTCGTCTATCAAACTGTTGAAGTTGCTGTATGCTGTCGCGCCTGACTCTATTCAGATCTGCCAAGTTTCGCTCGAGTGCTACTGCTTCGGCACTGTCGTGTAGGAGCCCATCTTGAAGACGCGCTGCTTCCAGTTGTCTCATCTCAGCCACCGCTAAGTCATGCGTGGATTGCAGGCTAGCCCTTGCTTCTGCTCGTCCCGATGCTGAAATCTGATCGGCGGAGCTGGCTGTTGGCCTACCACCTAAGGCGTGGTAAGCAGGTTGCCTACGAATTAGCTCTTCGATTTCTGGGGCTTCTCCATCCGCAACCATCTGTGACATTCTTTGCATAGTGTTCCTCCTATTTTCTGTGGAACGCACAAGGGCACCATCTTCAAGAGCCTCCTCCATACTACTTCTCCAGGTTGGTGTGCCCACAGACCGGAATAACATACGATCTGCACCGGGCGGGATCCTATCAAGCGCTGTGCGGGCCTCTTCATCCTCTCGTTCCTGCTCTCGTTCCTGAGCAGTCTGTCTCAGCCTTCGCATGAGTTCCCTATCTTCCGGAGTCATCTGTCTAGACATCTCAGCTTGGGTTCGCCTTGCCCATCCCCTGATGGACTCTGGTGTATTTGCAGAACGGATGTTGCGACGATCGAAGTTTACCGGTTCCGTATGAACCGATGTGCGGGTCGCGGCAGTCTGTCGTCCCAAAGCGAGCTGAGCCAATCTTAGGTCACCTTCCTCAACTCTTCCTGCACGCCTGAAGGCCTGGCGTTCTGCCTGCATTCTCCGCTCCATGATACCTTCTCGGGTGCGAGCATAGCTCGATGGTGCTGGAGCTGGCGCCGCATATAGCTCACAGCGGCAGTTAGGACAAGTACGGTTTCGTCGTCCATCGCCTTGGAGCCAGGTGAGTAGACAGACAGCGTGGAACATGTGGCCGCATGGGCGAGCTATCTGTACCACATCCTCGGCGAGATGTTCGGCACATATTGAGCAGTCTGACTCCTCGGGCTGGGGACCTGCTGGTACGATTCCGGTCATGAAGAACTCTCCTTGGCTGCGGAGAGCGGGCATGTTGGACGGCGGTGTGGTGTTGGTCTGCGGGACAGCACGCTCGTTAGAAGACGATGATGTATCACTAGGCTCAGGATTTCTACGCCCGATGTAGGAGTCCATGTTCACGGATGTGCTGGTTGAAACTATCGGGTGCGGGCTAGAGAGTCGAGTGTGAGTGGAGGAATTTATGTGTTGGACTTTGTTAAAAGTCGGCGGGAGCATATACTTTGGGCTGCTCTTCTTAGGGCTGTGAAACAGATTGTACTGTGACTGAACAGTGTGGCAAATAGACCTTCACAATGTAAGATCCTATGGGCGACATCGAAGGCCTACCACTTTCACTGCTTCTGCTGTGGTCTTGGGTGAAATGCCTGTCACGATGATCTGGGCTTTCGCGTCCTCAGGCCTTCACTCGCGACGTTAATCAGGAACCGGGGCTGACAAACAAGACATTTGATCAATGATTTCGATTGTTTTTGTTCGATGTCTACATCAAACCGTTGGTGGCCCCGTTGAGGTAAGCCCAACATTGATAGCCAACGACCCATCATTGACACTAGCTGCATCATGAACATTCTCTTTTCACCCCCACTTCGAAGCTCAAGGGGTCTTATGCATTGTCTCTTCGAACGCGCTCAAGCTCCAATCGTACCCAAATCGCCCAAACCGCGCTCATCGTTCTCCTCTTTCTATCATGCCTGATATCTCAACGTAACAAGTCTAGGTTGATGCCTCAGGGACATCGGTGCTATTTTCATCTTCTTGGGGCGATGCAGACCGTGCTCCACGAGAACGAAAGCGCTGTGTGTCTGATGCGGCGGCCTCTTGTGCTCGCTGAAGAATAGAAGATGGCCTAGGACGCCCCGGGGGATGTTGCCTGAACGCAGTAGGATCTGTTGATGCGGCCCTGAGGGGTAGTGAGTCATCATGCATGTGCCTCACGACAGTGCTAGATACGCGACGTGGATTTTGTACTGACCTTGTGTCTTCCGCGGCTGCATTCTGGTTACCTTCAGAAGCAGGCGGAGCAGCAGCTACGGTATCAGAGCGTGTAGTCAAAGTAGGCAACGTAGGCAACGCAAATCGGTCATCGTTGAAGTTTCGTCCGTGAAGCATATTGCTGTTCGTGGCGGTGCGGGGACCGTCTGGGGAGAAAGGAAAGAGTGGGCTATGGACTCTTGAGACGTCGCGGTGGAAACCTGGAGGGGAAGGATATAC